CTTGTCCTGTCGCTGGGCACCACTGGAAAGAGTCTGGCCCCGTCCTCCTGACCCCACCCTGCAGATATTTAGAGGCATTTCTAAGGTCCCCTCTCGGCCTTCTCTTCTCCAGGCTGAACAAGCCCAGCTCCCTCAGCCTCTCCTCGTAGGAGAGATGTTCCAGTCCCCTCCTCATCCTCGTAGCCCTCCACTGGACTCTCTCCAGTAGCTCCTCATCTTTCTTGAACTGGGGAGCCCAGAACTGGACACAGTGCTCCAGATGGGGCCTCACCAGGGCAGAGTAGAGGGGGACTGCTTCTCCTTGACGCAATAGAGAACGGTGGCCAGCCTCGAGAGATGATATTCTGCACATCAGTAAATCCCCGTGCTTTCATTAAATTGCTTGCTTAGGCTGAAGATTGAAGTCGGTGTGGCTGAGGAGCTCCTGCAGACCGCAGCGCAGTGATGGAGGCAGCTGTTTCTCACGTCCATCTGTTAGGACTTGTCGTTTTGTTTCGCAGCGTGGAAGGTGCGAGCAGTGACAGGACGAAATAAGCACAGAGGGAACCGATCGTTTTGTGTGGCCGTGTTAACGAATAAGCTGGGGGTGAAGTTAACTTCATGTGAAGCAGTTTAAATTATTTATTTTCAGCCGTGGAACTGCACTTACCATGTTGTTAAGGCAGACCCATGTTGACAGGGTGACGTTAATTACTCCACTGGAAGCAGTTGTTCTCAGCTGTCATTCAGGGCTCTGGGTGAAGCCGCAGCCTGCGCAAATCACGGTGAGCAGCTTCCACCTCCATCTGTGGAAGTTCCTTCTGCATCCACCCGCAGCTGCAAACTAGCTCGTTATTCACAGCAACAAAATAAGTGCAATGATTATGGGTGTCTTCCCCCCACCCCCTTTTCTTTTTTTTTTGTTTTTTTGTGGTGAGCTGAGTGGTTGTGTGATTGATCTCCTCTCTGTAAGATGCAGCACATCTTAAAAATGAGAGGAGCTTCATTGCTGATCCGCCAGTATAAATGTGTATGATTACTGTTCCCGTAAATGCTTTCCCACAACTCCCTTAATGATTCAGTTCCCACTCGTTAATTCATAGCAAGACCGTTGTGTCCTTCAGAACAGGAAATTACTGCATCTGGGGGTTGCGTTCTTTGCAAAGGCTTTGGCTTGAGCATCCCTCCTGAGAACTGGATGTGACTGGAGCGGCGTTTGTATGGATGTGTGCTAATAAAAGTGAGGAACTGACTTTCTCCTCCCTTCTTGTTCAGCACTGCAGCGAGTGAAGGACTCCAGAATGACCTGGCTGTGGAGCGCTGGGAGTGCATCTACAAGGGAATGAATGCCTGGCTGCTCTGAGTGGCTACATTCTGCTTTTCTAGATGCTCCTGTTCCGTGGCTGGGGCAAGCAGAGGTTCTGCTGGGAGAGCGCGTGTGTGCCGTGCGTGTTCATTACGGTGTGAGGCTGTGCCTCGTAACGTCTCGCTCTCTGTTTGTAGGTTAGGCCAAAGACCCTGATTCCAGACAGCCTCCCTATCTCCCCATGCAGAGACCAACCGTCCAAGCAGCCTCCTACCTTCCAGAAGGCAACCGTCGTCAGCATCAAAAACCCCAGCCCTGCCCTCCCAACTGCCAATAACACCGTCAGCCATGTACAGACGCCCAACAGCCAGTCGCAAAGCGTCACCGAGCCTGCAGCTGTTTCGTCACCTCTGAGCAGCGCGGGCGTGGCGTACGCCATCATTTCCACCTCGCCCAGCAATGCAGCTCCTCTCAGCACCAGCGCGGCTGTCTCGGTGGTCAGTGACAGCATTAAAGTGCAACCCCTCCTCATTAGTGCCGACAACAAGGTAGGTTCTGCTTTTCCCCCTGTGCTGGGGTTCTTTTTGTTGTCCAACACAGGAGTTATGTCGCAGATGTAAGCAGAGTATTCCCTGGGAGTGCACAGCACTGCACAGAGTGGTGTCAGTGGTTGCCTTTGAAGAAAATAATCAGATGAGAAAATTCTTAAGGGGACACATGGATGCTAGCAGACATTTATCTGTGTACATGCGTAGTTTTTAGGAGGAACAAAATGCAGCATGATGTAGCCTGACATTAATGGGACCATATGATCTTCCATTTCCTTACTAATAATATCGCTGAATTCTGTGCAGGATCAAGTTTCCTATGGACTCCCTCTTCAATTATAGAGTGGTATGAGTTATATCCACTGACCCCGGGGGAGCGTATCAAATAATCAGGTATTCCCTTCCACATTTTCAGGGGAAGACCAAATGAAATGAGAGCTCAGGATTTCAGAACTGATCAGCAGATGAATAAGTAGAAAAGAATCAAGTTATGAATTACTTGTTTCTTCTTTGTACTGCTTTTCAGTTTGAAGTGCAAGAACTTCACCACTCATACCAGAAAGAGATTCAATAAAGAAACAGATTCAATAAATGTACCCAGCAGACATTAATTGTAATTTGCTACCTGGATCCTGCTACTTTGGGTCTTGTGGGCAGCACAGGTTCTCATACAGCGGTAAAAAAGAATACAGGATGTAGGATGGCTTTTGAGGTAAATAAAAGCAGATATCTCTTCCCCCTCTTCTCTAACGTAATTTATTTTTCTCTTACTTGAAGTGGCTGCTGGTTAAGAAAACTGTCCCTTTTTATGCTCTTGAATCTTGACTGAGTTGAGATAAAGTAGCTAACAATTAAATAATGCTGATTGAAAGTCAGCAATGAAATAGCTGGAAAAGGCCCAGCGTTCAAATCCAATAACCTTCATCAAGCAGGTGAGCTCGAGAAGGTCTTCCATAGTCCTTCGTGAAGCTTTGATTGTGGGTTTAACGTCACATGTGTAGTTCTGTGGTCATAAATTGTCCTTTGTTCCTTTTAATTTAGTAGCTTCTGAGATAGCTTAATCTGCAGCATCTTCGTGTGGTAATTCAGATACAAGCAGCTGGATACACTAACGTACATGTGTGTGTAAGAGATTGGAGTAATAATTCCTATAGGTTCTAAACCAGAATGAATTTTGATTTAAAGCACATGTAGCTCATTTTGTTTATGCAAAACTGGACATCCACTGCTCCTAACGCGGAAATGCTGAGGGCTGAACTCTGATCTCGGTTACATGAGTAGTACTGAGGAGTATCTTCCTTCCCAGCTCCGTGTACTTACCCTGAGATATCGCTGGTATGACTGAGGTCAGACTGTGGTTTTCAATGTGTAGTAATCCCCTCTCTTCTACCTGTATGCAAAACAAAATGAAAGGACAGACCTTAAACTCGCTGACAACACGAGTGCTAGAGCTAGGCTGCTGAGTCAGCTCCAGAAGGCCTCTAAATAGAAAGTGTCCTAATTTTCAGAGGCGCTGAAGTGGCTCTCTTAGGCTGCAGTAGGTTTATAACGCACCTATAAAAATTATTTTTTGGGAACTTAAGTATGGATTTAGAAGCCTAACCTAGGTATCTTTTTAATATATTTTTTGCTTGCGACTCGCATCTGTTGTCTGTAGAAGTATCAAGTAACCGTTCAAAGAAGACTCGAAGGTTTCAGGCAGAAAAATCCAGTTTCATATAGTGAATTCTCTTCTTTTATTTGTACGTTGTCTTTTAGGTTATCATTATTCAGCCTCAAGTCCAAACCCAGACAGAAAGTAAAGTGGAGACAAAGAAACCTCCTGAAGAGTCAGCTCAGGGACCCCCTGCTACCAAAAAGAAAAAGGAGGAAAATCCAGAGGTGATTTTTTTTATTTCTGGGTGTTTTTTTTAAATTTTTTTAAATAAATGAGCTACGATATGGTTCATTTACGGGGGCCATTTTCCAAACATTTTTCTGTATGCAAACATAACTGTAATTACTGCATTTGTGCTCATGGCTCTGCCAGTTGTTCATCTCTCTACCCAATCACTGCCATCAGGGTGATTTCCCCGCCAGTGAGGTGCTCGGGCAATTTTGGTTTGTGTCATTCAAACCTTCTGGTGTCACAAAATGTAAGAATTTTAGGTCTCATAAAAACTGAGGCACCTTGCATGAGTGTAGCTGTATTTCTTGTGAAAGGTCTGTATAAGCTTAAGGTATTTTCTTATATGCTATCAGATATCGGGTTTATATAGGCTGCGTATGAGATTGAATTAACATTTCTTTTGTAAGCGGAGCTTTTACATCTTCTTTGTAATGAATCTTGCAATTTTTAGATTGTATTTAGCAATGCAGTTTCTGGCATTTGCTGTGTACATATCTTCCCACATGCAGACAGATCCTTTCTAGCATGAAATACATCAAAATCCTTCACATTGAGTAAGAACGTAGAAAGCAGGTTATAAGATTAAAGCTCTTTGATGAACTGTATTTGCAATGTAGGCTGAAAATATAAGTCAGAAGTCCTTGTATAAATGCAGTCTCTCTTTAACAGGCATTTTGGTTTCTGACTGGATGTATTCACATCAGATTGTCTGTACTTTTTAGGCAATATGAGAAGTTATAGAAACTGCATGTACTTCTACATGCTCAGCTCATGTGAAATCTTAACCTTACTAGTCTAATAAGTGTGTAGCAAGAAAGCATCCTTGGAGTTGTAGGTTTAAGAGGATTATTACAATATAAATTTATAATGTTACTTGGGGCCTGTGGGTGGTCGTTCCTCTGACCATTTTAAGAAGTTTGTATGGTTAAAACAGTGTTAAGGATAAACAGCGGCTTTTAGCCTAGCATTTCACAGCCTTATGCAGAAGTGCTGCAGAACGACACTTAGCAAACCTCCCAAGTTTAAAAGCTGGCCCTCCTATGAATCTTCATTGCCGCTGAATGGTGGGATGGTAGGGTCCTGTTTCCTTCAGGGAGCTATTTCCAAAAGATTATTTGTTGTGTTGTTCTGTGGGCAGAAAGGCTGGGAGAACCTGATTAGGAACAGAATGCTAGAGAAACCATCTGTTTTTATTTGCCTGTAACTTATGCCCCCCGAGAAAGAATATTGAGCAAAAATCTTCTGGCGAGATGCAGGAAGAAGTCATGGGACAGGGGACACTTTTCGATATAGCATTCATAAATTTAATGAGCTTTTCATTTCAAATAGCTAACTAGAATATCCTGACTACCCTTTTTGTGCCCAAGAACATTGCTCCTACCATGTATACTAGAGGTCTCAGCAAGCACGATTTTCTGGGAAGGTTGCTGAAGCTATGCCCTGAAGTAGGACGGTTCTTTCCTTTTCATGGATTTCTTTCATGGCCGTAAATATGTAGGTCTAGAGTTAATTTCTTTTGTTCTTTGAAAGTAAACTTTAGTTGATTATCATGTATTTATGCAATTAGTGTAATTAGAACTAACAGCATAATTAGTGTAAATACATGTAATGACATCAATAGAACATGTAATTACAAAATGAAATGGTTTTGTAGAAATCTTTGTTTTGCTTCATGAAAAGACGTACTGCACATTTCTAAAAGCACTCATGGCTGTTAAACAGATGATTAAATTTAAGACAAAGAGTAACAAAGATACCATGATATTTTAAAAAAGAAAATAAGCACTCTAGGCACTTCTCTCCACACCTTTATTTATCTTCAAAGCACGACTCTGAGGCAGGAAATCCAATATGGCTTTACATAAATGTTAGTCGTGACAGGCTGGGATTTAACAAATGAAATTGAAAATTTAAAACAAGTAAACCAGAAATCAGTGGACTTAACAGTAGGTGGGAATCCTGTGTGCAGTGACTGAGCCTACCTGAATGAACAGGAGACTGAGGACCATTACACAGAATCATAGAATGGTAGGGGTTGGCAGGGCCCTCTGTGGGTCACCCAGCCCAACCCCCTGCCCAAGCAGGGTCACCCAGAGCAGGGGGCACAGCACCGCGGCCAGGCGGGGCTGGAATATCTCCAGAGAAGGAGACTCCACAGCCTCCCTGGGCAGCCTGGGCCAGGGCTCCGGCACCCTCAGAGGGAAGAAGTTCTTCCCCACTACTTCCTCATTACTGTCTTTCATTCCTGGCTCGGTCATTCTGCTGGGAAGCTGGGAAGCCAGTCCTGGACCCAGCCCCCTGCAATATGCCTGCCCTTTGCATAGGCCAAAGATTCCTCCTTTCCTAACTACATCATCATTAAACCAAAGCAGACCTCCTGGTGCCTGCTGTCGTGCGGCCGGGGTGCCTGGACGCCTGGCTGGGGAGCAGCATTCCCAGAAGCAGGATGGAGGCACTTGGCCACCCAGAACATCCCTGGTCCGGTGGTTAGAGCCCTGTCCTGGGCTGTGAGCCGTGTGGGTTCAGTCCCCCCGGGGCTGTGGAGGGTCTGGAGGAATGGGCGACCCACTCCCGGCCGTCAGCCGGGCTCTGCTGGGATGGGGACCGGTAACTGCCCGGCTGGTGACGGGCCTGCTCCCACCAGAATGACTTCTGCGAAGAAACGAGGGGACTGCGCCAGGGAGCTGCTGCTCGGGAGAGCGAGTGCCTGGGGGTTGGGGGGTTTTTTGTCGTTTTTTGTTTTACTTAAAAGGGCCTGAGTTCAGCACAGAAATAAACAGAATTCTGCCCAAAACTTTTTGCTCCTTTAAAATTTTATATTAGTAAATTTTTCAATTTCTGGCAACATTTTCCAGGACATTCTAGCAGTTTTTTATTTAAGAGAAAAATTACTGCTGTAAATGCTGGTTATTTAACTAGCAGTAGTTTTAATCCAACCTAAGAAGGACCAGGGAGACACACTGCAATGGTGAACTACACGCTAGCGTTAAGCCTGGATTGAAAATCTGGAGAAACTGAACCCTTGGTTCTGAGGATTCACGTGCAGGGGAGGAACAACAAACTCTGTGACAGTCAGAGGAAAAGCACGGCAGAGGAAGCAGCATTTTGGTCTGAAGCCACTGAGCTACGTGAGTGTGAAATAGCAAAGCCCATACAAACAAATATGCTGCTAACATAGTATGCTTGTTAAAAAGAATACAGCTTCTACTGTGATTTTTTTTTAAAAGGAACCATCTTTCAAATATCTATAAACCTAACCCTTCCTGTGTTTAATAGTGAGATAGTTATCAAGTCTATTTATGTAGGCTCTTCATATGTTAATCGAGTATGATGTCATTGCATTTAATTAGATGTATATTCAAATAATGTTAGCATGAAGAGAGGAATTTGTTTAGCAAGCATTCCTGTACTCAAATAATTTTAGTTTAGATGTCAGAAAATGTATGCTCCCCCTGCAGTTTAATCTTCAGGTAATACAGGCGTTCTGTGCTCCACTGGGAAAATACAATTGCCTGGTAACTGTGCCAGCTTTCTGATTCTATACCTAAATGTTGTTGTTACTTCTGCTCAGGCGCCCGAGACGTATCCTTCCACGAAGTTACTTGTTGGTGGGGGTGAGGTGAAGCTTGTAATTCTACTCAGGTGACTAATTTTCTTTTCAGATCTGCACAGTGGATCTCAGATCAAATATTCATCTTTCCCTTCAGGTGTGGAGCCCCCACTGTGTCTAGCCGGTGTTTTAGATATGTAAGGAGCAAACGTTATTGAAGTCAAGGTCTGACATGCAAATGAACAAGTATGCTTGTCATTACCACGGTTATGGAAGGCAGAAATACAGCATGAGTGTATTTAAATTGCCAGAGATGAGATACTACATCACCATTTTTTAATCTACAGGGAGAGTTACATACCGGGAGACTGTGGAAAGAAATTGTTCCTGTCTTACGAGGTTGTTAGTTCACCTTTTTTACAAAGATACAAGAGGGGTACAGATGTCCGGTCCTGACCCTCAGATTTTGAAGAACCCACCCCGTAGGTAGATCTTTTCATCTGCAAAATGAGGATGTGCTTGCTTTCACAATTTGACTGTGTGGAAGTCAGAATTGCAAAGGAAACGGTGGTGCCAGTGACTTACGAGTTGACTTTTTCCTCAACTGAAATGAAAAGTTGAATCATCAGGTTTTTCACCAAACAGGAACATCAAACTAATTTTGACTTGGAAGTGTCGAAACGTGTTCTCCTGACGCTTCTTTGGTTGAAGCAGAATGCTTTGACCTTCTACTGCTTGAACGCTGTATTCTAGTTTGACCTAAATCTACACATTTTATTTTGGCTGAGTAAGGTAATTGCATCTTCCTGTGGTCTTTGAATGCTTTATCAGAGTTAGATTGTGGGTTTTACTTTCTTGGATTTCCTAATAGCTTGAATTTCATAGGCAAATTGTCTCTCCTGTGGAATTGCACCTCGTGAAACTGCCACGTGGGTAACGTGATCCAGCAGGATTGTTAAGCACAGCAGAGAGAGGAAGAGATCCCTGAGGCCCCATGGTACCACGGATGTGACTTCAAACCAGGGAGTTCAGTTCAGTTTGGGTTTGGAACAACACAGCAGAATTTCAGTTTTCCATCGAAATGATGGAATAAAAGCTTTTTCTGCAAGGAAAAAATTCCCAATGAAAAATCACTGACAGAGAATTTAGAGTCTACTCTAGTACTTGCCCTATTAGTGCATTGGAAGATTCGTTAGTGTGCAGATGTGTTTTGTGCGTATATAGTGTAAAATAATTCTGAGTGATATTTTAGATCAGATTCCTCACTGCAAACTGAGTTCACTGATGTCCGTGGGAGATGTTTGTTCACTCCCCACTGAGGGAAAATACTGGATCGGTGTTCCTCTTCATAATTCATGCGTGTGATATTCTTTTTGGAACTTGGGGAGAGAAATTTCTGAAAGCTATTTTTGGGTCAGGGGGCTTTCAACATGCTTCAGAGGTCTTGTTTAGCGTTGTAAAGTTCAGTGAAAGCCTGTCATGTCTAGTCTTACTTCATACAGCTTGCTCACGTACAATAAAAGCAGTGCCATGTCCAGATAGTAATAATAATACACAGTTACTTCTCTGAAGAGTGGAGTAACAAGATGGCTAGCAGTATGAAATGGAATTGAATGAATTCACTGATTTTTGATCATTCACTGTGTAAAACCAGTAGTCAAATGGCATTGGCTTCACAAGTCTCTGAACTGCTAAAGGTCATGTAGACGTACAAGTAGGATTCAACTGACCAGGCAAAACTGAAGCAAATCTTCAATTAAAGTTCTTCATATTACTATGCATTCAGATAAGATACATTCCTGAAAGACCTTTACCGGATTTATTCTGTCGATGCTAGGTTTATTTATTGACTTCTGGCATGATCGTTATAGTACAAAGTCTAACTCCTGTTTATTTTTTCCTTAGAAAATTGCCTTCATGGTAGCATTAGGACTGGTTACAACAGAACATTTGGAAGGTAAGATGACGTATGTTTTGTTACAGTTCAGTTTTTGCGTGAAATATTTTCTCTTGGCTGTCCTCAGAAGGGCAATAAAAACCAGGTGAACTGTTACCTGTGCAGAACTGTGCGTTTCAGCCTCACCTCCCATTCCATCGCACAGCTCAAGGGGCATGAGAACGGGCTCTGCAGCCAGCACCAGCAGGCTTGGCATCAGCTGGCATCTGGGCTCGCTTAGTCGTCGTGGACATCAAGGATGTTAACTGGAGGATGACAATGAAGCAAAAAGTCTGCAAAGGCTCTGACCAGCACTGATCTGGTTGCAGAATCAGCAAGGTTCAAATATGTTTACCCAGATCTTCTGTAGCGAACATGTCCTCTCTTCCTTCCCCACGTGAGATGGACTTTCATTTCTTGAGTTAATCATCTGTCATCTCCAGAGTTCCACAGAATAACGTGTCAAATAGTGGCGAAAATCTGGCATTTGTTTTAGAAGATTTCAAGCAAATTAGAAAACTACCTCTCGCAAAGACTTCCTTCCCCTCATTTCCCCCCATGTAGTCAAAAAAGAAACAAACCTCCAGTCTGATCCTGCTTTTGTGTGAGAGCTGCTCGTGTGCCTTCCTGGGCTTCTGAACAGGAGTTCAAGCAAACATTGCACATAAACCATATTCAGAATTGCATACTGTTCAGTTTACTTTTCCAGCCTTCCAAAAACGCCTTGCAAGAGTTAGCAGATCCGTACCTTTCTTCGCCTCAGCTTGGTCTTTCTGAGGACATAGATGAGAGGGGAAAAAAGAGCGTGCTCAGCAACTTTGCCAGTGGCGTGAGGTGACTCGGGGGGTTTCTTGGCAGGGTTAGTTTTCATGGACAGAGGAGAAGATACAGCTACTTCTAAGAAAAAGTCTACAGCTTGATGTGTTTTAGTTTCATGCTCAGCTAATACAAGTTGGTGTGGTTCCACTGGTGTCAGAACAAACCTGGTATCTGTACCAGCTGGCAACGATTCTCAATCACAAAAAATATGAATGATACTTGACGTTTACCACCCATCCCATGGACCCTTGTCAGCAAGATACTTCCGGATTTCCAGTGCACCGTGTTGAAGTTTGATATGCCTTAGAGTTAGGCACGTGCGTAGGACACCTTGCTGACTCGAGGTATCTGCCATTTTACAGCTGGATTTCGTTTTAGGAAGAAGATTTCCTGGGCTTCTGTTCCTTGGTGTTAAGAGAGGTTATGAATTAGGGAGAAAATCGCATCTTAAATGTGAGGTGTCCTAAATCTACGCAGCAGGTTTTCTGTGGGTCTTGTTGCCTTTTTCACTGTCTTCCCTCCTTAGTCTGCATTTTAGAAAATCTTTTAATGTCCCAGTGACTGAGAATTTGAAAGCAATTTAAAGAAACTTTAAGCGATCGGCCTTTTTAATCCCTTAATGGTAATGGATTGGAATGGAAATTAAAAAGCTACAGCAATTTTGGGCGAAGATTTATAATCCAAAAAGTGCAAGTGATGACTGGTTCTTGTTTTCTTTGTCTAAGGAAAATAGGACAACATTTGAAATTATGCTGAAGTGCGAATTGTGCTTATAACAGAGAGAACTTCCTTCTGAGTAATTCTTTACCCTTTGATTTTATTGGAACTAATAAATTGTTTGTGTGGATTTAATGCTCATGTTCAAAACGCCAAGTACTGCTCCGCTCTATTTGTTGTACAGTAAGTGTGGAGACGCACATTTTGAACTTAACTGCTACAATACTGATCCTGCAGAATCAATTCTTTCAGACAAATTCATTTTTATATTCCTACTAGCTTTAAATAAATGGCTCCCACTGAAAGCTATTTACTATGGAAAGAGTATTTCTTCATGTGTTGGTGATTGCAACTGTCAAAAATACCCTTATAGTTTTCACATGGTAAAGGTTATTATTTTAGTGCTGTGTCGTATTTGCAGTTATCAACCAGTGCTGTTTGTCAGGGAGAAGTGGTCATTGCACAGTTCAGTTTATTTTAGTACTTCTAATGCGTTTCTCAATTTCACATTTTTGAAATTGAACTGTATCAAGATGGGGTCGTTAAAAGCTTATTCACTCAGTATCATTAATTCACAGCATTACTGCTTTTCTTCATTTTCTTCATTAATTTTGTGGTGGAGGGCTATGATCCGCTTCTAGATAGATTTCTCTAGCAGCCTTTCCACCTAACGTCCAGAGAAGCATCTTTCCCCTTACTGGGAAGGGCTATGATCCACTTCTAGAGAGATTTCTCTAGCAGCCTTTCCACCTAAGGTCCAGAGAAGCATCTTTCCCCTTACTGGGAAAAAAGCTTTGTTCTGCAGAGCCCAAGCGTGGGGCATCTTTTGAGGCCCTTACCAGTAAGTGAAGGCAGCTGCTTCCGCCGACTGGCGTGCTGCAATGTGTGGCTTCCACCGAGACAAATTGTCGTTATGGGCCTCACAGAATAACCAACAGGGTGTTTATTGATGAAGGCAGCAGCTCATTGAAGCTTTGCCTCCAACATAAAGCTATCTTCAAATTTATTCATCTCTGTCAAGAGTATTACAGTTTAGAGGGTTTTTTTTTCTGTTTGGGTTATATTTTTTAAATTAATAAACTCAGGAATAAGCCGAATTCTGTGATGCGGTGTGTGGTTGTAGTACGTTAAATCTTTTCCTCTAGCTTATTAGAACATATTTTAGCATCACTGTTGTGTAAAAAAAGAAAAAAAGAAAGAAGTAGATAGAAAATTTTAAAGGAATTCTGAAGTTCAGGTCAGTCTAAAAATGCACATCTTGTTTTACTGTAGTAAAATAAAAACTCTTAAATATTTCCATATAGGTTACTGAACTGTTGTAATCAGTTAAAACAAATAATTTATTTTTACTTTATGAACCCCTGTTTCAAAATGCATGCAATGTTTTTTAGCAGAAGTAACGAGTAACAAAAGATAGTATACCAGCATATGCTCCTGTTCTATCTTGGTGTGATTATTTACAGATACAGCCTTAGATGTATATGCTCCTTATATCACAAGCACAGATATTTTTTCTTCAGAGTTTCCATAAATACAGTGCTGACCTTGTGCTCTCCCTCCCCGATGGCTACGCAGGGTGGAGGACATTTAGAGCCATTTCAGTTCATTGCTCTCTCTCTCTTTCTTTCCATCTATTCCCACTGCTATTACTTTTCCCCCCAGCCAGCTTTTATCTTTGTACCACAGCGATGCCTCTTCCAAAGCTGCATTCCAGGTAGCTGCCACGTGTGTGATTCAGAGTCCATCAAATATCTCTGTTGCCTTGGTGAGAGCATGTACCGAAGAAATTCTCTTCAACCAGAGACCCAAAAGGGCAGAAAGCTACAGATCCATCACAGTCCTCTTGCGAAGACACTCGGCCCAGTTATGGACCCTGGCACACAGAAAGCTCTGCCCTGTTGGAGTCGTCGTTTCTTTTTCTGGGCCAGTGGGAAGTCGTGATTTTGTATCGCTGTGACAGTCTCTGCAAAATACCAAGCCTGGGCTGCCTGAACCCCAGCGTCTGACCTGCACTGCCACGAGGGTGCTGAGCTGCTGCAAGCCCTGGGTTTGCTGACCATGTAGCGTGGGTTACTGAGCCTGGCTGCAGGAACCGCAGCTCCAGCTCACTGCTGAGACCAGCGTAAAGGGTCAGTGGGTGTCACAGAATCACAGAATCACAGAATGGTCGGGGTTGGAAGGGACCTCTGTGGGTCACCCAGCCCAGCCCCCTGCCCAAGCAGGGTCACCCAGAGCAGGCTGCACAGGACCTTGTCCAGGCGGGGCTGGAATATCTCCAGAGAAGGAGACTCCACAGCCTCCCTGGGCAGCCTGGGCCAGGGCTCCGTCACCCTCAGAGGGAAGCAGCTCTTCCTCATCTTCAGCATCAAGGCACACAACTGCTCTTGTGTGACAGCTCTGGCATCTTTCGGCCCGGCGCTGGCGCTGACTCCACGAACGCCGTCTCTCTGCCGGTGGCTCTGTGGCAGGCTGCTGGGTCCATGTCTAGCACGCACACTGCTGCTGAGGCCTGACGCCCTTCGGAGGATGCTGAAGGACTTGGAAGCTTCACGGTGGAGATTCAGCATAGCCAGGCGAGCGTTTCATAGGAAATGCTTTCACAGTGGGACAGAACTGTTACCCATACAAGATCCTCTGGTTCGGAGCCTGTGCAGCACCAAGGATGTTAACGAGATGCTGGCAGTGACTGCAGCCATGGCGTTAATCTCCCGTGTCAGTGCAGCCTTGGATCACACTTTCTTGGTAGTGAGATTTTGCATAACTCCCTCAGTCACAGGGCAGCGTACGTCTAGCTCGTGTCAGACCGTGAATACAGTCCTGCATGTACCCTCTGAACTGCCCTAGAAGGCACCTTCTGAGCATGAGAGGTGACACGTTCCTGTGCCAGTGGGAAAACCCAGCCAGATTGTGCAAGTAGCTGCTCTTCTGTTTGCGTTGTCTGTCTGGCTTCCTTCCGACACATCCATCGCTCCAAGAGTGGCGGCTTAGCCAGTAGTCCTTCGTGAATGAGAAGTTTCAAGTCAATAGCTTGGAACTGAGGGCAGGACAAAAATCCGTGCAGAGTGTTGGCTTTGTCTTTAGGGACACCGTGTCCAAGGCGTGACCAACAACACCAATGCCATTGACTGCAGCAACACTGAAGGTGGTACGTGGCCCCTTTGTGGACAAGTGATCAACGTTTGGAAAAGGTGCCTGGACACCAGAACTATGTGTTGGGAATCCTATTCCCATGTATCGTAAACATCCTGAAAGCCAGACTGTACCTTACTAATGGGTTGCAAATGGGAGATGTTGCTCAATACGCTGAAGGCCATTTTCTGGCACTGAGGATGTTCTGAATGTTTGTTTCTAGGGGGGTGGGGCCTCCACTACCTCTCTGGGCAACCCACCCCAGTGTTTCACCACCTTCATTGTAAAAAATTTCTTCCTTTATATCCAGTCTAAATCTACTCTCCCTGAGTTTAAAGCCATTACTCCTTGTCCTATCACAACAGGTCTTGCTAAAAAGATTTTCTCCATCTTTCCTACAGGCCCCCGTTAAGTACTGAAATGCTGCAATAAGGTCTCCCCGCAGCCTTCTCTTCTCCAGGCTGAGCAGCCCCAACTCTCTCAGCCTGTCCTCATAGGAGAGGTGCTCCAGCCCTCTGGAGTTCCATCCCTCTGATCATTTTTGTGGCCCTCCTCTGGACCTGCTCCAACAGGTCCATGTCTTTCTTGTGCTGAGGTCTCTGGAGCTGGACGCAGGACTCCAGGTGGGGTCTCACCAGAGCAGAGTACAGTGGCAGAATCCCCTCCTCGACCTGCTGCCCACGCTTCTCTTGATGCAGTCCAGGATGCCGTTGGCCTTCTGGGCTGCGAGCGCACACTGGTGGCTCATGTCCAGCTTTTCATCCACCAGTACCCCCAAGTCCTGCTTGGCAGGGCTGCTCTCAATCCCTTCATGCCCCCCAGCCTGTATTGATAGAGGGGGTTGCCCCGACCCAGGTGCACGACCTTGCACTTGGCCTTGTTGAACCTCATGAGGCTCACACAGGCCCACCTCTCCAGTTTGCCCAGGTCCCTCTGGATGGCATCTCGTCCTCTGGCATGTCAACTGCACCACTCACTTGGTGTCATCTGCAAACTTGCTGAGGGTGCACTCGATCTCCCTAAGTCATTGATGAAAATGTTAAACAGCACCAGTCCCAGTGCCGACCCCTGAGGGATGCCACTTATCACTGGTGTCCATTTGGACATTGAGTCATTGATCCCCTGGCTTTGAACTTCCAACAAATTCTTTATCCACCGAACAGCCCACCCATGAAATCCTTATCTCCCCGGTTTAGAGAGAAGGATGTTGTGGGGGACTGTGTTAAAGCCTTACAGAAGTCCAGATAGATGACATTCATTGCTCTTCTCTTGTCCACTGATGCAGTGGCTCCATCATAGAAAGCCACTAGGTTGGTCAGGCAGGATTGCCCATGGTGAAGTCACACTGGCGTCTCGAATCACCTCCCTGCCCTCCATGTGCCTGAGCATAGCTTCTAGGAGGATCTGCTCCATGATCTTCCCAGGCACAGAGGTGAGGCTGACAGGTTGGTAATTCCCAGAGTCCTCCTTCCTACCCTTTTTAAACATGGGCACAATGCTTTCCTTCTTCCAGTCACCAGGGACTTCACCTGCCTGCCATGACCAGGAGATAGACCTCTTCAGCTTAGACATTGATGAAAGTTGCCAGACCTTATGCAGAACCAGATGGTGTCCTGAGTTTCTGTGTGGTGTTCTCCTGGCCCTCTGGGCTGAAGGGCTAGTGCTTCGGCCAGTTCCTCTTGTTCTGACAGATTTACTTCAAGCAAGACGGAACAGAGGTACCGCCATCACGGGAGTATTTAGACTGAAAACATCCCCCTGGTACCTCAGTGCAGAGTCTAAACTTTGCCTTACAATATTCACGTAGGAAGCATTGCAGAACAGAGCATCAGCCTAAGCCATGCACACTTCATGTCTTGGGATAGATATGGGGTGGCTCTTCTTGCTAAAGGAAGTCTGCTCTTACTTTATTATCAAAATAAAAAGTAGACTCTAAAATACACGGTTATAATAATCTCCCCATTCTGAACTTACGTCAAGAGCTGGAAAAAGAAATTCCACATGACGGAAATGAGATCCTAGCTCAGATAAAAGTAGCATTAAACCTGCAGATTTCCGGGGGCCAGGAACCCGCTCCCTCTTTCTGTGTGTGTTTGCAGAGTACGCGCGCGACGAATGGCTGCTGAACGCAGCCCTCGGCAAGCGCTGTCTGAACAGGTTTTACCTTTTGGCGGAAGGGAGGGCTCTTGTGTTTCACCCTTTTCCAAACAGGAGTGCAGCTCGATAAGCCTGTCTTCGCACTGCTTTTTCCAGGGACATACATATTTTTGTATACGTGTACAGCTCATAACAACATTTTGCACGCTAAGGATGGTGAAGTTGTATATTTTTGGATGGATAAATCATCACGCCCTAGTTAGAACCGAATCTAGCCATGTCATTCTGACCGTATTTTTTCTAACCTCTGCAGAGGAAAGGTAATGTAAATTAAATTTAAAAGGATCTCTATGCTTTCATCTGATATGAATTACAAGGCTTAACTGCTTTAAATGCTTTATTTTTGTTAATAGCAGAGATTGATAGTACTCTGAAAGCTCTCTGTTGATGCTTCCTGAATGTGTTTCTGAAGGGATCATAATAAAAATCTTGTAGGGCAGCAGAAGCCCACCTTGGAGGAGAGAAAAAATAAAAAATGCCTGTGTTCTGAATCTTACGAGGAAAAGCTTATTAATGTCAAACCTTGAACTGCAGCAAATATCAGTGCTGATGCAACCCAATTATACTTTAGAAACTGAAACCGAACACAAAGCCCAAGGGGTTGAGGGTAAGAGCATCTTGCTTAGCAAGTTAGATCTGCATTTTTCCCTGATGAATGAGAAACACACAATTCACGTTTCTTTCCATGGTTACAGAAATCCAGAGCAAGCGTCAGGAAAGAAAGAGAAGAAGCACAGCAAATCCAGCCTACAGTGGACTCTTGGAAACAGAGGTACTTTATCATTCACTTTTTTTAACCACAGTTCTATTTCATGTCAATAAAAGGTTTAAGTGCTTCTTGTTACAAAAGTATATGAATTCAGAACCACACATTTACTTGTAAAGAGATATTGATGTGGAAAAGAAAGACAAGATCTCATCTCAGTAGCTAAGCAACAGGTTTTCCCCCCACAAGATTACTTGCTTGAAACTAGAATTTATCTTAGTTTTAATAAAGGCCAAAAGGACTAAATTAATTTGGGACTTCATTACGCTTTCACCCCCACAGACGGTCCCTTTAGGTCAGAGCTGAAGAACAGAAGTGGTGCATGATGCTCAAACTTGGACTGCTGTTTCTCTTTTCCTATGTGCCAAATAATAAATGGAGAACTTTGCTTCTTTTATTATTGACATTCATAAAATGGACGTGTTGGTTTAAGAATCAGTGTGCTCTGCAGGGGGCCTGCATAATATACATAATAATGCGTAATTAAAAATAAAATGCTCTGGATAATCTCTGTTGTCTGTTACACTTATGCTGTTACATTTATGGTAGTAGCAAAATTTGATCCTACATAATATTGGATTGCAAACATGGTGTAAAAGCAGCATATAAATAGACTTAACTTTTTTCTGATTTTTTTTTTTCTGGCATATATGCCATTATTCAGCATATTAAAATTCCGTCTTTAAAATTTCATCACGGTTTGGGGTAACTACTTGAACTTCCTACAGCAATGAAACCCTCCAGCTCTCCATTTAAGCAAGATTTATCTGTGATCTGAGTTCTTTAAGCCTAAAGAAAGTGATTTTTCTTTATTTAGGTACAAGCAATGCAGAATTTTTGGTATGCCAACATTTCAGATTTTCGTCTTTGTTGGCAGACGGATGAGGCTAAGAAGAAATCCACCACGACAGTCAAGCCGCTTAGTAGCTTGGATGTTCTTTTTTTTGAAAGTATTTGAGATTTTTAGACTCCAGAGCAGCTCTGGGCGCTTGAATTCTTCAGAACTCAACTTTTCACGAGCAGTCTCGTCAGAGCAAATACTGATGTCCATATGTCCAGTATTTACCACAGTAGGAACCTTAGATTTGTGGTGTCTTCTCTTAGACCTTTTTGTCCTGATGAATTTATTAAAATACGTGCAGCTGAGTTTTGTGGCTGTAGTCTGATCAGCGTAAGAAACTCAATTATCTTGGAGCAGGGGTGGAGGAGCTGGTGGAGGAGCTCTGCTGCACCCCTAGTTCATACTTCTCATTATATCTATTCTCAAAAGCATATCTGAAGTGAAAGATGAAATGGAGAAAGACATGTCTGCGAAAGAGTCCTGTGGCTGATCAGCTGTGTCCTCGTTAGGAGTTGTCATTAAGTACTGACCATGGGGAATGTTGTTCAAGTAAAATGGAGGCAGATGGTTTTTCTCTGATCAATTAGCTGCTCAGATTGATTTGCTAATCAGTGAGTTGAGGTATTTTGTGGCATTTCAGGCATTTTGGTGCAGTTTAATTTACGGTTAGCCTACTGAATGATCTTTAATTCATGATTGTTTAAATTGAAATTGCATATAAATTAGACTTTTTATTTGCCAACGCCCCTCAAAACGGCAGGAGCTCAGCGCCTGTAGTGGTGATGCCGACTTCCTTGATTACAGAAGTGTGATCACGGTCTTACGTCTGCACTTGGATGTTGTGCTTTTTCTTTTCAAAGCTTTGTTCTTTAAAAAAAAATTGAGATACCATTCTATTTTCCCACCCTCTGTAGCTTCTTTTTTTTGCATAGGAAAGGGTTAAGTTTCAGGCTGAGTATTTTCTGAAGGAAGAAACATCAATTCAAAATTAATTAACAGACTGGCAGGCACCTGTGTATAAGAGAACAGTTTACTCACCACAGAATAAATAATTTATTAGCAAAACCCCTCTAATTTGCCTTCAAGCAGAGTCTAACAACATCTTCTGAAGGAAAATGGTACTGTTTCCAACCCGGCACAAGTACTGGACGGCTCGGAGGAACAGTTAGGGGTTATACAGACTGTTAGTGAAGCCCGGCTTGCTGCTGACCAACAGCTTGCAGCGCCTGACAGGTTGGCGATGGGCTGCGTTAGATGAGTTAAAGGTCTCCGTTGGGTTTCCAGCGGTCTGTGTTTGTAAGTTTGAAAGTGTCTGGTGACCTCAGCAAACTGAAATCCCTGCCAGCTCCTGGAGGTCACACACTCGAACTTCGGAAAGAGAAATATTTTGCTCAGACCCTAGTAGGCAGCTTGCGAATGAAATGCCTTCCTAGCAGCCGCAGGTCACAGGAGGGAGTTAAATATCTGCAGGGTGGGGGTCAGGAGGATGGGGCCAGACTCTTTCCAGTGGTGCCCAGCGACAGGACAAGGGGCAACGGGCACAAACTGAAGCAGAGGAAGCTCCAGCTGAACCCGAGGAAGAACTTCTTCCCTCTGAGGGTGACGGAGCCCTGGCCCAGGCTGCCCAGGGAGGCTGTGGAGTCTCCTTCTCTGGAGATATTCCAGCCCCGCCTGGACAAGGTCCTGTGCAGCCTGCTCTGGGTGACCCTGCTTGGGCAGGGGGTTGGGCTGGGTGACCCACAGAGGTCCCTGCCAACCCCCAACATTCTGTGTCTGTGTGATTCTGTGAGTGATGCTTTCCTGCAGGCGGGAAGTCCATCACCATTGCTACGTATGCAAATGAAGATGTCATCTCACAGCAAGTTTGCTACGCAGCTTTTCCTTTATGGACGTTGTTTATCTGCTAGGTTTGGAGTTACTGCTGCTGCTGCCTTGCTCTGACCAAACTCTCAACGCCACCAGTAACATTTGCAATGTGCCTTTCTCTCTTGTTAACAGCAGCTAACGCGCCTCTAACTGCTCCGTGAAGAACTCGTTGGGAAGGCAGCTACTGCAGCTCCTTGTGCGGCTCCTCAGGGGTTAGCAGCGAGCGTGCTAAGCCACAGACTGGCTCCTGGAGAGCGGGTTATGCGTGAGGCGAGCTGACGGAGGTTGTTGGTGTGCAGTGGTGAGACAACCAGAGCACTTTCAGTGACACTGACTGGTTTCTTTTCCCTTGTAGCGGAAACGCCTTGCATCGAATTATTTGAATAACCCCTTGTTCCTTTCAGCAAGAGGTAAGGATATTTTAAAATGAATCTACTACTATTCTAATGACATGTTAAATATTTATTAGTAGGATTTCATATGAATTACTTCTGGGGTACCATAGGGCATTACTTTGTGTAAGGTCCCTGCACTTTTTCATGTGCAGTGAAAATAGATGGGTTTCCTGCAAAAACAGCTGAAGGATAAGGCTAAAGGTCAAAACTGTGGAGAAATGGATCCAAAGTCTCCGCAATCAGTGGAAAATCTGATCTCTGGTATTGTAAGCACCGTGCAGTGAGAGGACCGATGGAAGAAGGCAGTATTGCCAACCCCAAGTGCTTAAAAATAGATATTGAAAAATGGGGATTTAAAAAATAATTACTATTCCGAGCTTTTCATTTGCCTCTTTTCGTCAGCTAGAAGAAACTGCTGTCCATCCTCAGGGCCTAGAATTTTACTATACCTTTTGCTTTACAAACAACGGCTGAAAAAACACACAGTTTTTCTGACTCCAGGAGCTGGAGCCATAAATCTAGATTTGATGGGCTTGAAGATGCTTTCCAATCTTGTCTTTGTAAGAACTTCAGATGCTGAAGATTTCATGGTAAAAGCCTTAAGAATGACCAACTCAGAGGAGCCATCTGGGGATGATGGTTGTTAGCTCGTGGAAAAGCTCATTCCGGGAAAAACATGCAACGTATAGAGATGGCAAAGAGTTCAGAGGTGGGAGCTGAAACAAGGAGGACATGGCGTATAGTTTGATTCTTCAGATGAGGCTCATGAAGGATTTTAAGAGAGGAAGCAAGAAGTCTGAGTTGCATTTCAGAAGAGGAGAGAAAGTCAGTAAAGAAATGTGATTACGTCCTTGCCCTCGTGTTGCCTTTATAACTTCGGCTCTACTGTAGTGCACTGGAGGTAAGGGAAGACAGGCCTTAGAAAGCCAGACATTATTTCAGTATTAGGAGCATTTACGGGGGTAATTTCAATTAAGACGTGAACTTTTGACAGTTTTTCAGTGTTTGCTTGATATCCCTGCCAAGTGTGGTGTCCAAGTGCTTGAGGTTCCCCTTTCTGGCGCTGCCTGGAATTCCTGCGCCACGGGATCGCCAGCTGAAACGCAGCAGTGCTTCGCCCTGCCTGCCAAACTCCACGCGCTGGGTGCAGACCGGCGGCCTCCTTGCCACGTGCCTCTGGTGCGTAGGGTCTCGGAGGACAGGAGAGGTTATTACACGGTGAAGAGCTGTGATGACATGCCTCAGAGCAGGAGCCCCGTGCTTATCTGAGTCCCAGTGGAAAGAACATTATTCCTGGCTTAGTTTTGTCTTCAAAATTAAAATTGTAATTTAATGTCAGTATTATAATAGCGCTTGTTTTTCCCATGTACACACATGGAAAAACCAGGAGAGAATGGGAACGTTATGAAGCTGTGCTGTTAGACCTTCAGTGGATTTCACTTAAGTTAGGGTTTGATATCTCTGGCCTTTTTTCTGCCACACGTTTCCTATTTTATTTGCGAGGAAGCAGGCAAGCGACAGAGCTCCAGCGATGCGACCGTCTCAGAACCTCTTGGAAATCGGGACTGTCTCTCCTTAATTGTTATTGAATCCTGTACCTTTGGTTTTTTCAGCATCCAGAATCTGTGCTGGGATTCTGTATGTTCTGACAATTTTGAGCTGGACTTCTTCGCAGCAGAGCTCCCCCCGTCCGTAGGGGCTGATGAGCGGCGTGCACCAGGTGCCGCAGGTGCGGTGGGAGCTCCGGGGCGGAGGCAGACGCTGTCCCCGCCAGCCTGGCACTGCGGTGACCTCCTTGTCCACCTTCAGCGCAGCGCTGGCTGCCCCGTCGCTTATAAAAAGCTCCGTTAAAAAAATTGTCTTCAGTTTAATTTCTCAGCAATTGGAAAGCAGAAGCGGACGTATTTTTAAATGCTCAAAACTTCGTGGTAAAAGTGAGGCAAAAAGAGAAAGAAACAAACTAAAAAAATCCCTGTGAAGCGCAGGAACCAACTGACATTTCCAGAAATGCAGAAGAGAACAATTCTTGTAAATTTTCAGCAAAATGTCAATTAATCAGGATTCATTTATCTGAAAATGTCTTACCTGAAATGAGGTCACATCCCCTGACACGCATCATTTGTAGAAAGAACTCTTCAATTATCAAGTCCCTGTTTGTCTGAATAACATTTATATCCCCTGAGTGATCGCAGTGTCGTACGGCGGTGGATCTCTCTGTGTGTATTTGTGTATATGAAGTGACATCTACAGATTTTACCAGTCTGTGGTTATTTGTGGAACTTACTGCCAAAGGATGCTACAATTGTTAGAAAAAGTAGACAGATTACGGAGGAAAAAGTCTATCTCAGGATGGTAAATATAAAAATGAAGATGCAAACTCCAGGTTAGGGAAGCCCATAAACTGCTAGCGTCTGGAAGGGTGCTTCCAGGGCGGCAAAATTTACTCTGTGCTTCCCTTGTCCCTGCCCTCTGTGCGGGAGCGGCAGCGCTGGGTGCTGTTAGCAGAGGACCCTGGGCTTTGCAGCCTGCGGTCCAGCTGAGGTGAAGCTGTTCCTTCGTTCTGACGTTCCTCCCGTGACACGTGCGTGAGGAGTGACTGGGTCTGCACCTTCACACCTGCGCGTACGCCAGTGTGTAAAACAAGTGCGTAAGAGCGGGCAGCAGCTCCCAGGTTGCTCTGTGTAGGAGGGATGGCACTGTGGCGACCGTATGCCCGTTTGTGAGCGGGCAGGAAGCTGAAGAAGGACAGAAGAGAAAGACCAGTTTGGCTGTCTCTGACCCGAAGAAAGGCCTCTCCGTCAGCAGCTGGTCACTGGGAAAGCGTGCACCAGCCTCTTAGGAATCAGCAGCAAAATCACAGCCCGCTGGGCAGTGTCCCTAAAGCTGTGAGCATTTTCTCACTCTTTATTTTTGGACCAAAGTGTGATGAATTTCACAAATATTTCTATGAAGAGCTCGGCCTGCTTCCCAGTGAGCTCTGATGGTGCTTGTTCTTATCAGGCTGTGAATCCAAGCTCTGCAGACTCGGTTGATCAAAAGGTCGGAGAGTCTTGGCGTTCTGGGTGGGAGCAGTCTGATGAGAACGTGAAGCTCACTCCTGCGAGCAGCTGCCCAGTCTGGCCACGAAGCAGCGCGACGTTTAAACATGTTTAACACTAAGCCAGCGGCACTACCTTCCTACTCCGAGTTAAGCGCCCGCTGAAGTGCTTGGCTGGGTCAGGGCCAGCCTGTTCATGGCCCCCAGCAGGCTGAAGTCCTGAAGACTTTTCGACTGCTGCCATGCGGAGAGGAGCTCCGCAGGAAAATTTTTGAAAATTTGAAATAGAATGTGCTGCTCATACTATGACGTTTTAGCATCAGGCCTTTGGACGTGGGATTCCCGCAATGCAAATTTTTAAACCTCGGATGCTAATTCCACTTCTTGCTGTTGCGTTCTTTCCTGCCTCCATCAGTTTTGGCAATGTCTTGATCTCCTGTGTCACAGCTTGACTAAAATTACTCCCATCGCTGAGAACTAGCATTCACTGCCGCGATGTATACCCCACTAACCTGTTCTCTGCCCTTCTTTCATATGCTAGCAAATGAGGATCCATTCTGGAAGGTACGTGTGGCAAAATTGGTGTCTTAGCAGTGTCTTTCTCATCAGCGTGTCGTTCGGTGCTTGCTGCTGTTTATCGTAGTCGCTATCACAGTACAAGATTGCAGCGTTCTCTTTGCATTTCATTCTGCTTGTGTGAAACACTTCCCACTGAACTGAATCTTTGAGCCTCGAAGTTAGAACTTCAAAGAGATTAACTCTGGGGCTTTCATATACAAGGCTTGAGTTTAATCCCTTTGTTGAATCCATTGAAAAATGGCTAGTCCGGGTTTGTGGTTTTAATGAAAAATTTAAGGAAAATGAGTAACCATTCTAGTTTGTACTGACTAAATCTCTTTACACTGAGGTCAAAATTAAGACTTTTTGAGCAGGAATTTCCAAAGAGTGATATCTTGAGGAGCGATTTTTTTGACAGCACTGAGTTAGAATTCAAGATATAAGCCTGACTAAAATTATCATGCAACTTTATAATTAATAACCCTAAAAATGAAAAGATGCTTTTGGAATTAACGAAGGTACAATATTATTATTGTCCTTCCTGGAAAAGCACTAGGAAAATTCAGGGAGTTTACAATGATTTACAAGCCATGAGAGTTTCAAAATTGGTATCTCCTTTATTAAAATGCACTTAATTATACAAAGAGTAATTAACGTTGCCACCAGATTAGCATAGCAATTTGCTACATGACATTGTAACTTTGTTGATGAGTCTTAGTTCATTTTATGTATTGCTTCAGACAAAGCACTAATCAGTCTTGGAGGAGAAAGGTTGTCAGAGAGAACAGAGAGCAATTAGCGCAAGGGGGAAGAGAGGGGCGGAGGAGCCCTCTAGAGGAGCCCACCAAGGGGAGTCCACAGCAAAGGGCTGTGCCTGAACACAGAACTTGAAAAACTCGACTTTTCCTGGCTGCTCTTTGAGGCAGCGGGCATAAAGCACGGAACTGTGCTTTTCCCCCAGAAACTTTCCCTTGCTTGCTTCCTTCTGCTTTGGACTTGAAGGACAAGGGATCCACGTGCTGACTTTGACCCGTACTTCAAAACAGTGGCACGTGGTGATGCGTGTGTTGGAGCGGCGCATCGTCAGAACCAAGTGAAATAATTCCTGCGTCCTGTGCTTCCTTTATGAGTGGACTCCCTCCTGTGTTTGATCAGTTGGGTTTTATTTTTCTGTCTGTTCCAGCTTATGGAACTCGCTTCTGGCTTGTTTGTCTGTATTTGTTCCTGTCATACACCTTTATTTCTGTCATCTTCCATAGGCAGCCAGGGTGCTCTTGACTATTCGATTTTGCGTTTGAATTTTACTGTCTGCTGCAGTGGTGGCTTTGAAGGCTGTACAGAGAGGAGTTCTCAGTGGGCTGACTTTCCCCAAGCCATCCTTCTTCTCTTGCAGAGTGAGATCCACCACGATGAACACTGCACTGCCTGCAAGCGCGGCGTTAACTTGCAGCCCTGTGGCGCATGTCCCAGAGCGTATCACCTCAGCTGCTTGGACCCGCCCCTCAAAACTGCCCCCAAGGGGGTTTGGGTCTGTCCAAAGTGCCAACAGAAGGTAAGCTACATGGACCACAGCACGCTGAGAAATGCAGATGGGAGAAACCTGGAATTTGTGTAGCACTAAACTAACCTGTGGTCACAGCTTAGGGGAATGCTGAAGTGACAGCGAGAGGCTTTTAGTACAGTTTGCAGTCCTGGAGTTAGAATCTACACGGAGTGCCTGAGCTCTCCTGTCATCGCACCTGCTGAGATTTGTCCTTTTAAAATGTCTTTTCCTTTCCTTTATTTCTTTCTGTACAATAAAGCCGCTGGCGTGTGGGTTGCCAGCCGAGTAACGTAAAGCTTGCAGATGAGGTAGGCAGCGTCAGAAGGAGACGTTGTTCACCAGTGGATCTGAAAGCTGTGAGAAGAACATTTCCTTTTCTTCAGATGGTGTTTATTACACACAACTACTGATCATAGTCGTGTCAGAAATGCTAATTTGTCTAGCTGAGGTGAATAATGCTGATTGTGTGAACAGGAAAACAACTGCTAAAACAGTGCAGTGTTACCAAACTGTGGAGTGGAGCCTTGGATTTGTTGCCTCCGAGTTCTTTGTCTTTAGCATTGAGATTACGGTCGTGTCCCTTTGAAAATGTCAAGGGGAAGTTCTAGCATGCGGCTGCAGAGAGCAGAGCAGCCCGGGATGAGATCCGCACCATCACGTTTTCATACGGACCAGCAGCTTCTCCCGCGCCGACAGCAGGGAGGTCTGCGTGTCAGAGCCTGGAGAACGTCTTCTGGCCACGGCGATGAGCAGCAGAGGATCTGCAATCCCTTCCAGCACTGCTCAGTAGCGCTGCTGGTAGTGGCGTGTAAAGGAGTAAGCCCCAGTGGGGACTGCTACTCCAGTTATTCTCCTGTTACTTTTCAGCTTGCAAATCCTGTGACAAGGACCTGCAGAGCTGCGAGGGTGGAGGAAGGAAACCGTTGATGTCTGTCTTTGCAGAGTCCTAACTTCTTATTGTTTCCTGGGCTTACAGGTGTTAAAGAAAGACGAAAATGTGCCATGGACTGGAACTCTGGCTATCGTTCACTCCTATGTTACTCATAAAACAGGTAGGGATTAACAAAGCTACCAACAAGAGATGCTGTGCTTGGGGGGGGCAGTGCCACTGGAGCCCGTCACGGCACGTTAAAGCGGCGCGGTGATGCTGCCGGGTACCGTGGCATCGTTACGCAAAGGGCTGTGGCGGGGAACAGCAGGTCGCTTTCTCTGCCCTTCCTCTCATCTGCTCCTTCGCTGTCTGCTCTCTCTGAGGAAGAGCGATCTCGCAGGAGTTTCAGACTCTGAAGGAGGCTGTCACAGAAGTGGCGTCTTCCTGGGAACAGGGCCGAAAAGGGATTTTAAGGCAGAATCAGATCAGGCTGGGAGGTAGAGAGACACAGTCAGGCTAGGCAGAGCCATGGAATTGCTTATGGAGCACGATGTGAGACAAGTATCTCAGATACTGCAGTAGTATCGGCTCCTGATTGTTTGGTGTCACCGTCATTAGTATCAGATGTCGTATGATATCTGTGCATTGACTGTTACCCTTTTTTAGTTCCCTGTTGCTCTATTACAATGGGCTGTTTGGGGCATTAGATCATATTTCTAAGGGGCTTTGCAGAGGTCTGATACTGTTATGATTGTGCTTTTCAGCCAAGGTTGCTAGCTGTGGCCATTCCAGGTCGCTGACCGGTTCTTTAATACCATTCCCCTTTTTCTTGACTTTTCAGCCAAGGTCACTAGCTGTGGCCATTCCAGGTCGCTGACTGGTTCTTTAATACCATTCCCCTTTTTCTTGGACACCTCCAGGACCACACGTGGTCCAAGGACTAATTTTAATTCATCTTAAAGGTGCACTATAGCTTTTGGGCTGTCCTGTGTGCCAGCTGTTGACATAGACACGTGCATATAAGCAGAAAATCCAGATTTATTTGGCTGTACGTGCTGACAAAAGGCTAATGAGACCTGAAACTCACCATTCAAAATAGTTACTTCTGCTCTGTGTTTTGTTGTATGTCCTTTTCTTCCGCATTCTTAATCTTGTTGTTCTGCAGTCAAAGAAGAGGAGAAGCGAAAGTTATTAAAGCGAAACAGTGAGCTGAAGAGTGAGCATAGACAGTTAGAAGAAAAAGATCGACTTCTCAGCAGTGCAGTGAAGGTAGGACACCTGGCTGGGGGAACGGAGTCTCCTGCAGAGATGTTTGTAAAGAATTTTGGGCCTGAAAAAGTGGCATTTTGTGGGTAGAAAATGATTTGTGCTCCCAAGCTACAGATGTTGAGGTGTGAATGTGATTCTCTCTGAGGAAAAACCCATGGATTTCCTTTAGGCACAAAAGCAAGCTGCTTTGGCTGGCTGAGGAGGAGAAGGCACCTGAATTCCTGTTGCACACACAAAAAAAACCCAAAATAGCCGTGGCTGCCTTCCTTGTAGTGCCATACACAACTCAGACTTGAAGGCACTTCCATTCTCCAAGAGAAAAGTTTGGTCGTAAGCTTGTCCTCCAGTGAGAACTGCTTGTCCATTACCTCAAAACTCTTGAGCTTAGGTAGAAATGACCATCTTTGTTTGTCTCAGGGACTGAATATTGTAACAATCTCTCCATGTCTGGAAAGGGATTCTGAATCCTTTTCTCAGTGAACTCTTTTCAAAGCTAAACGTTGTCTGGAGATGTCTCCCACGTATACTGTGCTATGAGGACCAGTCTCTGGCAGTAAGGAATGGGCTGAGTTCAAAACTGTAATTCCCATCCTTCAAGGGTGAAGGAACTTACTTGGGGCTACCTCACCTCAGGCCCACTCTTAAGGGGTAGCTGGCATGGCAGTGACAAGAAATATTTGAAACTTCCTTACCCTGGAAAAATCCAAGTGGCAGCTGCAGGAGTAACTGGTCACAACTTGCTTTACCACTACAGATTTCCAGAGGAGGTGTGTTAAAATATTTATTGCATTTAAAATAGAGTGGAAGGAAAAGCAGTACTTTACTAAAAGACATCACCGTGGGGAATATTACCTGTAAGTGTGTATGGCCACCATCAGCACGAATGGAAACAGCGATATGTAGGAAGAAGTGGCTCTGGGGCGCAGAATGTCTTTAGTGGGTAGGAGAGTGCAGTGGGACGAGGTGTTCGGAAAAAGGAAAGCATCTGGGGACGCAGTCGGCTGTCAGTTGTATGTCAAGGCTTCCACAATCAGTCAGGTTTCTACCTAAGCAGAATCAGGTTCTTTCAGTGGGCAGCACTGCCTTATTTCAATGGTAAGATAGCTGATGATTATATTTATTGGAGATATATCCACTAGAAGGAAGAAGAGCAATTAAAGGTGTTCCAGCACAGAGCGTTTTCACTTCCGACATTTGCGCTAACAGAGGTTTAGGTTAAAGCGAACACTCATACACACCACACGTGGAATGGTGTGATTTGGTAAGAACTCAACAGGATTTATCCTTCCCCTGAGATTTCACCTATCTAAACCCACCTCTGAGCAGCTCCACGTGGTTGTCTGTCAAACAGCTTGATGTTCAAGTGAGCATTTCCCGTGGCCCCAGGACTAGACCATAGCCAAAAACAAGCAATCTGCAGACAAGTGACCAGTTTGGCCAGACCACTGGGCCCACTGGGAGAGGGAAAACAGGAGGTTCCAGATATCAGAGAGGCCACCGTTCCTTTCCATCTAGCAGACAGGCTCTGGTATTTGGTCTGTCACGTGGTCCCTTAAGGATGGGGTGTTGGCTGCAGCAGCACGGAGCTGGGGAGGGAAGGGAGAGTTCCTGATTCTTCCTTAGCTCTGCTTGGAGAAGAGGAGGCATTTGAAAGACGTGTAGATGTGGCGCTTAGCACCGTGGTTTAGTGGTGGACTTGGCAGCGTTAGGTTTATGGTTGGACTCGATGATCTCAAAGGTCTAAGTGGTTCTGTGATTCTAAGAAGGAGATTTGGGACGCCTGCGTTTGGCTCCTGCTGTCATGCTCGTTTTCATGTGGGTCTGTATGAAGGGTTTCAGGTGATTGTGGGGTGCAGTTTGGCCACCCTGCAGGAAAGTACTTCCTTGTGACTGCAGTGGTGTAACAGTAGTGTCTTAGATCAAGTTTTCTGCCAGAAAGATGTTCACATCATGTTTAGAGACATCAGCTTGTCTTCACAGTATGGACTCCCTAAAATCTGTGGCACGTACAGAATGCAGCACGGGGAGGTTTATCCCTCAAGCGTTTCTCGATGCCATTTGGTAAGATTCAGAGACCTCACTGGGGGCTTCGGTATTTTCCAGTAACACAAGTAGTCCTGTGCTGGTGATCTCTGTGGAGTGCAGAAGGCGTTTCTGCCCGGCTGTCTGTAGGCTGGGGTCAGAAGTGTCCTTCGAATGCGCGTGGCCGGGGCTGAACGTTGTCACCTGGGACAGCTGCTGCAGTGTGTGCGGCGCCGGCGATGACTCCGTGCGTTAAGCTGCGGTTTTGGTGTCCCCAAAGGAGAATGTGCTTCGTCTGAGCAGGACGTGCGCCCAAGACACCAAGGGGCGTTTGCTGAGATGTTTGACACCGATTTGAATGTATTCTCAGTCTTCCCTTCTCTCTCCCCCTTCTCTTTATTTGACAGAAATGCTTAGAGCTAAAAGCCAGCCTGTTGGCCCAGCAGAAAGGGACTCAGTCGTCACTGGACCGTCTCAAAACCCTCATTAGACTGATACAAAACGAGCAGATGATTCAGGTTACCATGACGACCACCACCACCTCCTCCCTGCTAACTGTCCCCTGGATCAAACCCTCCCCTGCCTCCGCTGCCATGCACAAAGCCTTGCAGCAGTCACAGGGCAACAACTGACAGAGCCGGCCGCGAGAGAGCCGAGGAAGGGGGGAAGGAAGACTTTGTACGGATGCGTGGAGGAGAGCTGAAACGGAAACAGAGGAGAGAAGGAGCAGTCTCAGTTTTGATACGTGTAGAAACTTGCAGACCAACCGGTCCAGTTTGTAGGTCGCTGCGGCAGCGGGTTCCCACGGAGCGGGTCGTGCTGCGGTTCTGTATTTGCCGAGACCTTCAGTGCTTATGAGATTTTTTTTGTTATGTTGGCCTTAATGTATTTATGACTGAGGATGAGGAGGAGGAGTGTGGCCGGTAGGAAGCGGGATATCCTCTTGTCCGGGGCAGACAGGTTTCCAGTTCTGCTCGAAGGGGAGAATTTTCAATGCAAACAGTTAGTGAGCTAGTAGAGAAGTAGTTGGGCTGCAAGCTGTGTGTGGGAGGGAGAGTGGTGAGACACCCAGAAACTGAACGACTGAGGACTCGGCGTGGGTTCTGCCGGAGGAACGGAGTCGGCCCCGTGGATTCAGGCGCCCGGAGACGGGGCCGTGCTGCCCGGCGCGGCGTCGCGGGCGCTCACAGAGCCTTCGGAACAAAAGGTCGGGGTTTTCCAGTATTATTAGAGTCGAGAATTGCAGATATTTAAATAAAGAAACTGTATGAAGTTAGCGTTTCTAGTAAGATATCGAAGTATTTTCATGCTGATGCTTCTGTATATGCATTCTGAAGTATTTAAAAAAGTATGACTGTAAAACTCCTTACTTTTTTGCAGTTCCTTTTTTCTTATTTTGCTATCAGTGTATTTTTCTCATGGAGTTTTTGTGCAAGATTTAGCATAAACCATAATAGTGGATAACTTTGGCAGGTTGGGTTTCATTTTTTAAAGAGATTAGTTTGGGGTTTTTCTTTTTTTGTTAATTTTGGATTTATTTTTAAGAAAAAAAACAAATAAATATTCTGGTTTTTGTTTCTTGCCAGTACAGATAATATGCCAAAAAGATAACTTTACATTTTTGTACTGCATTTTTATCGTTAAATATATGTAATGTGATTTTTTAAAAATTATTATTTTTTTTATTTTTTTGCTTGCAGAAATATCTGCTGAAATGGTACAGGAAGAAAAAAAAACCCAAACCCTGCCTCAAGGGGTTGTTTCTCATACTGGATAATATCAAGAGTTCTGGGGGAGGGACAGGCCGTGGAAAATTGTGTTTCCTGGGATTTTTTTTGGAAACTTGCTTCCTTCTTAGGATTTTGTTGGATTTTAGCCCACTGGGGAAGCGTTTGGGCCTGAGGACATCCCCGCGCGCCTGCTCGTTTCGCTAGCTAGTCTTCCTGCCACTGCCAGGGTCCCCCGGCCCCCCCGCAGGCCACAGGTCCCTGGCCCCCCGCCGCCTGCCCGGGGAGGTAGCGATGGGCACCCCGGTTTTTCTCAGCGTCACTCAGTGCCCCCGATGCCATCGTCTCTGTCACTTCTGAGTTCTCCGTTAGCACAGCGGGTACGTGCGGGAAGCGAGGAGCCACCAGAGCACGTCACCAGGCTGGTCTCTCACATCAGCGTATCACATGGTGCCGAATATATATTTTTAAAAAATAAATAAATCAATAAAGCCCACGAGGGACTGGCTCTTTCCATCGCCCATCACTAGGCAGCACATGGTCCCTTCAACCATTTTCACAACTCCGGGAGAAACTGTGCAGTACTATACAAATCTATTTTAATACACAACACTCGGTTGAACAAGATTTTTATATTCTTTTATTGATGAACAAAGTGAACTAAGTAAAACACAATTGTTATACATTGGTTATTGTATGCCAATTATGCATTCTAACGTGGCTTGCAATGTAAATGTTTTCAGGTTTAATGATTTTTTTTTCCTTCTCAGACAAATTAAAAAAAAAAAAGTGCGGAAGGTTGAATATGAAGAATTTCTGAAGAAGTGTCTTGGACTGTTAAAAGTAGTTATTTTGAAAAAGGGGACTGTCCAGTGGATAGTGTGCATAGAGAAAAAAAAAAAAAGTGTTTGTCTTAAATATGCCAATGTAGTTTTACTTCTTTATGATGCATTAAACTTGGTTGACAATTTAACGGTGGTGTCGTCGTGGTAATGCCCACTGCTGTGGAGACGCGGCGTGGCCTGCCCAGCGCTTGCCGCTGGGGCAGCGCCTCACATCTCTCCCTTTTCCTCTCGCACCCCTTACAGGTTGTGTTTTTAAGGTTTTTTACCAGGATTTAAGCCCTGCAGTGGGCTTGGCCCACGTTGAGCTGAATGGAGTCAGCCCGGGAGCAAGCTGCTGGCAGACGCCGGGGCTTTGGTTTCAGACCCACGCTTCAGGGGCTCTGCAAAGGTGCGGCCGGCCAATTTTATGAAGTTGTTTGTGACACTGCCTAAGTCCAGTAATTAAAGAATGAGGGATAGGTCCCCCACGGGAGTCATCTGGTTTCTGGCCGGCGGAAGGGACAGAACTTCCCAATAAAATGGACCAAATGAAAGCACGACAGCGTTACGGCTCCATCAAACCTACCCCAGCGGCTAATGCTTATGCAGAGCAGAAGCAGGGTTGGGGATTTTTTTGCAAGGGGTAGGGGGAAAGGGTATTTTTTGCCTTGTCTTCAGTTCCTGGCAGTGTCAGGGTTTGATTTTGGGCAGCAGTTGGCCTGGGGAGCTCAGCACTGCGCCCGCGCTTCCCCTGCAGCCAGGCTGCCCGCTCCTCCCTCCCGGCTTCTGCCATGGGAAGGGCGCCCTGATCCTTCCTAACGTTGCTTCCAAGTGTAGAAGACACCTCTCCCCCAAACCAGCAAGCCCAGGAATCGTACGTAATCATCACATCATTCTTCTGCCACCATCCTAACCTGTAAACTCAGCGCTGTGCTAACGGACAGGAGCCAATTACGGAGCTCTGCGTGTTGCCTTAATAATTAATGCGGTTGCACAGGAGTGTAGGCTTACTCTAGCCTTTAATCTTTGCCAGTAATTTAAATGAAGGTTTTGGTGCAGATTTGTCGGAGCCCCGGTAGCCCCTGTGCTCCTCGCTGCGGCGCTGGGCTTTGTCTGTGAAAGGAACCGGGAGCCGTGGGGTTCTCAGCCTCCACCCCCAAGCGAAAGCTATTTTTACAGCTGTGCCAGACTTCACAGCTTGGGAGCTCTTTATTTCAACGCCACTGTTTTCCACGCGTGGGACCTGTCCGTGAGCCGTTAGCTACCTCGCAGAGGAGCTGCTCTGCAGCCGTTTGACCGGAACGCGTTGTCCGAAAGCCTGGCAGTTTTAGATTTGCACCTCTTCCAACGTGATTTCGCCTGCTCTTCTTTCTCTCAGTTTCCCCTTCCTCAGAAATGAGAGGGAAAGGAACTCCTGCGTCTGTTGGGCAGCAGCATGGAGCAACGCCGGCCCTTCCCAGCCAGCAGAACGAGGAGCACTGGCGTGGCTTCGCTGTGTCAGGTTCTCAGACGTTTTCAGGCTTTATAGTCTCAGAGGAGGAAGCCACAATGGATCCACTACGCCCTAAAGGCGCAAAAACCAGGAAGAAGCAAAGTCAAGACCCCTCAATTTATTTTTTTTTTTTTTCATTTTGTTTATTATGACTTGCA